AAAAAGACCTACTAGTATCCTTATAAGATATAAATCCTAAGGCTAAAATCCTCCGAGTATAATAGTAAATACCCTATTATAATATTAGTACGGTAATACTTCTCCTTATTAAATCGGCTTCACAGGAAAGGATAGCTAGCCCTATCCGGAATACCCTCCTTTATAAGAGGGGTAGCTATATCTATAAACTATATAATCCTAACCTTAGCCCTCTAAAGTACTATAAATACCTATACTTTAGCTATAAGGCTAATAACTACACTATAACGGAAAGGGTATATCACTACTATACTAAGCCCGAATTAGCATACTTAAAAGGCCTAGGATACTATAACGCTATAGCGCCCGGGCGCCCCTACTATTATACCGCTTATACTAAAGATTATAATACCTTTAACGATTTATACCGGCTATCACAGAAAGAAGCTAAAAAGACCCGCGAAATATATAAGTACCGAGCTAAGGACTTTAATATTACCCGCTAGACTAAAGCGGTATATCTATAGTACCCGTAGATCTTCCCCCTAATTATTATCGCCGAAGACTAGGACCGACCCTTTTATAGAGGTAGAGAATAGCCCCCGAAAAGGATTAGAGAATAGGAGGGCTCCCTGATACCGGGCCTAATAAGCGCCTATATAATCCCCCGCGGGACTAGTAAGGTACCGTAGTAAAAACCCTAAAGCTAGACCCCGGTTATACCAGGTATAGTATCTTAACCCCCCTTTCTAACTAATAAGAATCTATATCCTTTTATAGAATATAGGGAGGAGTTAAGCGCGGCGGGAGCTTTTACTTCGGTGCCGCGCTAAGTATAATATAATAGTAATCTAGGAACCCGGCCTAAACCCCTTTACGAAAAGCCTTACCTACCCCTCCTAAGGGGTATACCGGCTAATCTAAGAAGGAGGCCACGCCCTCCTATATATATATATAAGATACCCGCTATATATATAGATATAGCAGGCCTACTATAATATCTACGCGGTTATATTTAGGACTAGAGATAACGCTATTATAATTTAGTTAATCTACTTAGAGAATTATTAGTTAGCTAGGACCTTTTAGAATATACCCTTATAAGATATATTCGATAGAGCACCGCTACGGGGCCACTATACTTTTATAGGGGACTTTAATCTATACTACCCCCTATAGTTATAGCTATTATAATATTACCCCTAGGCTAATACCCTGCTTACCCTTATAACCCGGTAAAACCTAGACCTAGTAACCCCCTACCAGAACTACTATATAGTACCGCCCGAGTAGGCGTGCTAGTATTATTAACCTTATATAGGCGATATAAAGGCTCCGCTACGACTTCGGCGGCCCCGATAAGACCGTTATCGGGTCGGACTACTACTTATAGATAGCTAAATCTACACGGAGATAGATACCGTGCCGAGCGCCGCGATAATACTACTATATAACCTAGGTAAGCCCTATTAGGTCTAAAAGGACTTTAACCCCTTATAGGTCCCCTAGCTCGCCACTATATAATTATAGTAGACTAGCTCTTTTATAATACTAGAAGATATCGACTTAGTACTAGATAATCTAATTAAGGCCTTTATAACCCTAGCCGATAAGATTATATAGCGCTACCGCGGGGGCACCTCTAAACTCTTACCTACCCCTTAGTAGAATATAGAGCTAACTGCTTTTACCTAGGAAACGAGGCGCCTCTACTATAGATATATATCTAGGAAGTCCCGGAACCGATAGGATAAGTTCTAGGAAATAAAGAGGTACTATAATAAGGCTATAATAGAAATAAAACGTCTATACTAATAATACTTACTCTATACGACTAAGAAAAACGATAACCTCCTTTAGCGATTATAGAAATAAGTATAAATACAAGGGAGATCACTACTAAACCCCTTATCGGTACCGCTACTATACTAAGATAATAGTAATAACCTAGCCACTATACACGTAAAGAAAGCTAAAGTCCTTAACCGGAAATTCTTTTTACCCCCCCTTTTTACCTCCCTTAGACCCCTAAGCGTAGAATCTCCCCCTAAATAGCATATCCGCCGCGATATTACCGTAGCAGATATATAGGGGCGCCTTAGAAAGACTAAACCCTAGGCGGTACTATAACCACGTAGATCGGTTATTAGAGTTAGAATAACTAATTAGGTCGGCCGCTCATTTTCTAACTAATTAGGTTAGGGGACTAAACCGGTTAATTAGGTTAAAGGGATATATATAACCGATCCGGATTATATAATGACCGTTTTATCCGATCTTTCTATATTCTAGATTTTAATCTATCTATCTTCGGATTATCTATTATAATTTATATTATCTAGACGGTCTAGTTTTATACTATTACGACCTTACTTAGTTATAGTACTAAGGCCTAATAAGCTCTTAGCAGGGCTCCTAAAAGCGTATAGACCTCCTTTATACTAAAGACTAAGTACTATCTTTATAGCGTGCCTTAAGATAGGCTATTACCCGAAGAGGTGCCGCTATATTACTATAATAGTCTTTAGGA